GCTGCTTGCGTCCTCTCCAAATGACCCATGTCTTCAAAACCTTCAATAAAATCGAAAGGTTTAGAATATTCAAGCTTTTCCATTATGCCCATTTCATCCAAAGCTAAAACACACTGTTTATCGATAGCTCCCATACTTTGGACTTTTAGTTGCAGTTGTTGTGTCAATTTATTGTCGATGCCAGGGAAAAATTCACGATGTTTGGGGAGGTTCCTCTATCACCATAGGTTCTGGTGTATGGCGTTTGTTTATGCTCGAAGAAGCAGGTAGTTTGTACGGTTGGGGGGGAAAGTTAACAATATCTTCTCTATTGTGCGCCACAGGAATTAGATTTGGATTCAACCTGGTTCTATGGAGGGTGCTATTTGATAAATCCCCATGATGAAAATGTTTTTCGCATATAAATTTATTTCTTAATTCTTCATGTTGAAGAGCAAACAGCATACTATTCCCGCTATTTAAAATCCATTCTCGCATGATAGATTCATTTTTGGGGAAATGGAAAAAAAAACGATGCTAGCATCCTTCCAAGTAGAAGGGCACCCAAAGTAGGAGCACTTTGCACCTCTTCTCGCAGGCATGGTAACAAGAATCTAAAAATTAATATTACTTAAGAAAAATGTATAGGTGCTTTAATATTTCCACATCAAAAGTCTTTGGACATCAAATTACATTGCCTGCACGTGCCTAGGCAGATAATGCAGCTTAGTGAAGTGACAAGAGGGAAACGGCGAAGGGAAAAACCGTTTTTAGTTGGAAAAAATATTTGCACAATCGCTCGTCGGGGCGGCAGGTAGCTTAAAATAGTACCTGACCATTAAGTCGCACGCGCTGCTGTACTCTTTGATTAAATAGAATGAGTAGATGAGCTTATCAGACATTTTAATGCAAAAATGTTACTATAGGTACTTACCTACCCCAAAGACTATTCCACTAGGTAAGATACAACAATCGTCAATATAGATAGATGCTTCACAGAAACTTAAGAACGAAAGGCGGGCAAGCAACAAATTAATTAAACAATAACAAACTGAAACAACTAGTCCTAAACAAATCACAAAATAAATTCACCGATTACAAATATCAAATGCCAAAAATAACGAGTTACGAATTCGAAGTGAGCACACTTTACCGCTTTAAATTTTTTGCAGCGATATCTAACGCATGAATCCATAAGTGTCATATTCCAGTTTTAAACGATACATGTTTATACTGCTCCGCAATAGAGGGCGCTTTTAAGTATACCTAAATTTGTTTCCCAAAAAATGCATAAGCAATCTGTGTATGTGTAGAACTGTGGTATAAGTAACACTGGATTAAACTAGTTTTTGTTCCCTCAAGAATCGGCAAGCTTCGGGCTTTAACCCATTCTTTCAGGAACAAAAACTCTTTTTAATCCCTTGTTACTTAATGTACTATTTAAGCTTTTTGCGAATATTCAGGTTCGGATTTTGTACAAAACAATCGAAATCCGTATCTTGCTACAACCTTGGTAGTTGAATAGGTTTGCCAGCGCTCGGTGGGAAGGTATGGGTTCAGATTCAGATGTTTGTATATGGGCGCCAGGTCAATTTACCCAATACTGGCATACCTGACAGGAATGATAACTTACATTGACCTCATAAGCTATAATTATATTAAGGGAAGTTCCGAATTCGGCAATAAACAATAAGAGACAAAGAAGGTTAACCATGTATAATTATGATTAATTCTGATAATGTAATTAAACAGTAGCGAAATATTTAAATTAATAGAATTCGTTCTAGGGTACACTAATACAATTTGAGATTTAAAAAAAAATTAATAACCAACAACAAGGGCTGTAGCTGTTTCGCAATGGAAGCTACGAACCTAAAATACCAGAGTTATTATTCAAGGACTTATGCTGCGCAGGTACCTGGGATCACATAAGAGGCCTATAGTTTTATCATACGAAAGTAGTATTTTAAAGAGAATTTTGCTCCCTTGTATACGTTTACAGATTAAATGTTTGACTCAAAAATTGAAATTTGAAAGTTTTGACGCACCCTATATATATATATATATATATATATATATATATATATATATATATATAACAAAATGACATAAATTATATTTGAAGTTGGCTAACCTTCGTAGCACATATAAACATAACCCAAAATTATGACAGTGAGTCATTAAATAATTAATCTTCATTAATGGTAAATTATAATTACTAGTTCCAACGATGCAAGGTAGTAAGGGACACAACAAGACGAGATGACATAATAAGCTAAAGAATTCCATTCAACCCCGTGGTAGTTTCAATCCCAAACTCATCAAATCTCTAAAGACTAAAATTAAAAACCATAACCTCATTGTGACTAAAGCTGACAAAGGTAACGCGGTGGTTATCATGAATAAAAAGGACTATGTTACGGGTGTTGAGAGCTTCCTATCCAAGGATGGTTTCACTCAATCTAAAGTCAATAACGAGGCTTTCCAGAAAAAAGTCAGAAAATTCCTATTTGAAAATAAATCCCTTCTTTTAGATCAGTTCCACATTTCTTATCTCCGTCTTACAAATATGAACCCTTCCCTTCCTAGATTATACGCTCTCCCCAAAATACACAAACCAGGCTACCCTATGAGACCCATTGTATCATTTACCAACACCCCAGTTTCCAAGATCACCAGTTGGCTTAACAAGATTCTTAGAAATAACTTAGAAGTCCATTTTCCCAACTCAGTCAAGAATTCCCTCACCCTAGTTAATGAGCTTAAGAATTTTCCGATCACCGAGTCCGACATCCTTGTTTCGTTCGACATTGTGAACCTCTTCCCTAGCATCCCCTTTAACGATTGTTTAAAGATTATTGACGAACTTCTTTCCCTCTCCAAACTCCCAGACCTTACCTGCACTTTCCTTTCTAGATCCCTCCAATTGTGTTCAGAACAAAACTTTTTCTCGTTTAATAATAAACAATATCATCAAACTACTGGTTTACCTATGGGTAGCAACCTATCCCCTTTGTTAGCTGAAATTTTTCTGAACCACTTGGAATCCACACTTTTCCAATTTAATGAAATTAAAACCCATTTCCGTTTCTACAAAAGATACGTTGATGACATTCTTGTTGTCTTTGGGGGTGACAGGTCTGAGCTTAATCAGTGTTTTGAAATTTTAAATTCACTTCACCCTAATATCAAATTTACTCTAGAAATTGAGTCTAATAAGTCTATTAATTTCTTGGACCTGTCATTGACTAGAGGCACTTCGAGGGTGGAAATCGACATCTATCGAAAACCTACCACCACTGACCATGTTATACCTTATCACTCCAGTCATCCTCTCTCACACAAACTCGCTTCCTTCAGATTCTTCTTTCACAGACTCCTTTCCCTGGACCTTTCCGAACCTCTTTACTTGAAAGAACTAGACATCATTTTTCAAATCGCTAGTGCTAATAACTACCCGTTCCAATTGATCAATAATTTACACCGTAAGATGATGTTTAAAGACTTCCTATCCAGACGTACCACCCTCTCCCAGACCCCTGATTCCCCTTCGAAATATTTCTCCTTACCGTACATTGGTCCCATATCAGAAATAATAGCCCGTCTCTTCCGTCCCCTCAAAGTTTCTATTTCCTTCTCAGTCAAGAACAACTTAAATTCTATCTTAGTCAAAACCAAAGACCCAATACCTCCTCTATCCAAGTCTGGTGTTTATAAATTGGTTTGTTCGGATTGCCCAGCTTGTTACATTGGACAAACTGGTCGTTCCTTTAAAATTCGGTTTTCTGAACACATCACTGCTATTAAGAATAACAATATAAGCTCCGTTCAACCCAATCCCAGTTCTTCCTTCGCTCACCACATCCTTAGTTCAGGCCACTCGTTTTCGAAAGAGGACTTCAAAATTTTGCATGTTTGTAACAAAAGTCTTAAATTAGACTTTCTTGAAATGAAAGAGATTTACCTCCACTATAGGACGAATCCTCAACACTCCCTTAATGAAATACTTCACTTAAATAAAAAATTTGCTTTTTCTCACCAAGTAGTTTCCGACCCCGTTACGCTTGTCAGATATCCCTTCTTTTTAGTTTAAGTTTATTTTGCCCTTTTTCTGCCTTCAGCAGATCAGGGTTGTTACTTTTTGGGCGTTTATTCAGTCCGTGAGTCCCAACGACTACCTTCAGTAGAAACAGGGTATTTTGGCCCATTTAATTTAAATATTTTATAAAAACAATAGCCTAATGTAAGCTATGTTACATTCTTTTCTCCTTTTCTTCTTTTTTCGTCCCATAACCAATCCGGCCCTATTTCCTTTTAATTTTTTAAATTGTTCAAGTTTCCCGCTTTTGCCCCTTCCCTTTAGTTACTTAACCTGCCGTATTTAGTCAGCACATGTCACTTTGCTTGTCAAGATGGCTGCGTCCATCTCGTTCAATTTTAATTTAACAATTGTTTATAAAATGTGAGGGCAAAAAGCCTTAAAGTTGTTAATATTGTAATTGTAATTGTTTCCATGTTCGAATAAGTAATTTTTCCCGTAAGTAGAACTATTTTCTAGACTCGCTTCTAACACATGTTTTACAGCATATTATCAACCAAATGTTACCAATTAATATGTAATTTTCAACTACTTTTATATGTTCCTTCAAACTGAAGGTAGGTCACTTAAGGTTTAGTCATTGTTTCAAATTATTTAAATTATATAAATTTTCAGCTTGATAATGACCTCAGGGTCGAAACTATAGTCGCTGTGCTGTCACATAATGTCTGAATTTAAAATCTGAAACAATTAAATGAAGTATGGGGAAGGTTTAGTGCTTTTATAATTTCCACTAAGACGATGACTGATGACACGACATAAAACTTACGCTGCTGTATAACTTAATCGTAGGCTGTAGTCGATGGTGGATGTAGCGAGCAATGTAGCGGAGGCGGCTCCGTAAATCAGGTGTGAAGTATAGATAATTGATGGTGGTGGCAAATGAAATGCTATGTTCGTAGTTTGTAGTTTGTCCGGAGACGGCAACCAACCCAACAGATCCGTCCTCGGAGTCACGATATCTTGTATGGACCAACAGGTATAAGATATATTAGTCCTGCCGGTGAGAGTAATTATTTGTTGGCCATTAAGATGTTAAAGCCAGTAAGTAAACTTCTCGTTCCAAAAAAAACTAACTATCGTAGGTATTTCTAAGCTTCCCGAACTCCAACAACTCCAAATCAAAACCAATATTCAGTAAGCTTCCACGGCAGAAGGAGACAAATCCAATTATTCAAAATTGAGGCCAAAAAGCCAAACTCCAAAAGCCTCAGAGAAGATTCTTAAAAATGTCTTTATGCAGGAAACAATCGAGCAAAAGTGACCAGCTCAACTAGCCTTGAAGAGATATGGACAGATAATCTAACATTCCTGACCTACAGTTCACGGAAAATACAATTACAGGACAACTACAGGATGGTCATAAATCTATGTCAAATAATTTATTAATTAAAAAGGTATAAGTAATCCGCAGACCGTTACAATCTATGGAAACATCAGGTTCATAAAAGTCACCTGAACGTCATAGGCACTTATTAGTGACATAATGACAACTGGGAGCAATTCCTATTTCATTGCCTGAAATAGGTTATAAAATTTAATAACAGCATTGCTTATTCATTTAAAGCCGCGTGCTGACTTGAATGTGCATGCGCTGAGTCGAGACGAATGCACACGCATATGCGTGCGGATCAAATTATGCCATTCGTTTGAAGTAAAATCAACGAAAGTATACTTTGTGTTTTAGTCCACTCCAGCCATTCGTATCGTGCTTCTCGACAATATGGCTGAAATAGTTATGGCAGGAGCAGCTTATATCGTTATCCATAACCTACTTACTAAAAAAACAAAAAATTAAGGTAAGTGAAATAGCTTTTAACAATAATTTTTATTGGTTAACGTAGGGTTAACGTAGTTAAACATACATGTGATTACAAAACTCGAAAACTATACGCATTTGTGCTTGAACTTGAACTTGATCCAACAGGGCAACATATGTTGGCTGTTTCAGTATAGGAGTAGAACCGGAAGAAGTATTATAATTTATTACGGGAGGGTACGTTGATTCAACGTTCCCCATATCCGCCTCAAATAATATGTTGTTGATAGAATGTTCTACAATCGCCCGTGTTCTTTTATTGTAGGTTCTCAATTTAGCAGCTACATGTTGCCCAAATACAGTAAATCGATATGTAGGTACATTTTGAGATGCGCTGTATTTTGCATGCGTATCTTTTAATATCGCATATGCTTCCTGTATTCAGACATCTTCTTTTTCTTCATTTTTTGCTTAATTCCGTTTGCTTCCTTATTTAAATTCTGCGCTATGCTATCCCACGCATCTATTTTCTTATTTTTGGAATAATGGAAGGGATGTTTTGCATCCCATAACACCGGATGTTGTTCGTACAAATCGATTAACTGTAGACAGTCATCGTTTGACCACTCCATTTTTAATACTGACGTGTCGTTAAAAAATATTCTGGTAAGTATACGTTCTAGCTGCAAGAATACAGTGAAATGTCGTCCAAACTGAGCACGCACGCACAATATGATTCCTTTGAGCGGCGACTAAAAACCGACACCTTTAGGTTCACTACATGCGCGTTCGTCGTGACTCGCGAGAAGGAAAACATGCGCCGAGTCGTTGCGAATTGACGTCCACATTTGAATGTTTATATGTGTTCGTGGCGACTCAGCGCATACACATTCAAGTCAGTACGCGGCTTAACAGTTTTGGGGATTCAGCAAATATATAAATAAGCATGGTAAATGGACCCCCCGTAATTAGTAAAATTACAATAGTGCTGGTAGGTATTTGTTAATATTGTTCTACGCATCAAAAGGGTTGCACGTTTGTAAGCATTTCCACACATCGCAGATTGACATAATGGCTGATTATTAGGGGAGAGTGGCCTAAAATGATCCCCTTAAGCTAAGAATGGCCGGAAACATGGTAAAACAGATTGATACAAATCCCAAAATTTACCACAGTGCAGCTCAATTATTACGGTTTAATTTGCCATATTGATTTAATTAATCACATTATGGAAACTAATTTTTTGTGCAAAAAACTATTACCAAAGGATCATTTTGCCCGACCTGGTAGGGCAAAATGATCCCATATTTAAATTCCATGAAAACGTGTCTTTTGTTGGAAATAAAAGCCAAAATCATTTAAAACGATGGTTTACTAAAAATATATAACTATCTTCATTTAGATACCTACATATAGTTTTTTGCGAAAACTACCAATCATAGGCTTTTCCTGGCATAAATCGCAGGAATAGTCACCATCATCATTTTCTTCAATTCCGGCACACTGTTCGTGTGCCCACCGCTTACAATCCTTGCACTGTACCCAGCCATCTCCCTCCTGCGAATTTGAATACAATTCTGTGCAAATGATGCACTCTTCATCGCTATCCTCTTCTATTTCACTGTCATCTCTGGTATTACTCTTTACAGTTTTTTTTACTTGTTTTGATGATGGGTTCAAAATCTTTTTCTTGCTTTTTTTCTTCTTTCTCATTTTTCTTTTGTTGTTCAACAATTAATTCGTCTTTATAAGGTGTACTTGTTAGAATGACCGTTCCCACACTTTTTCTCTTTCTGGTTCCTCTTGTGTTCTCTTTCATTTTGGGCAATGGATTTATTTCATCAGGAGGGATGTTAAAACTGGTTGACATAGAAGCTGAAGCAATTTGAATGTCGTTTTTAGTATTTGGTGCGACTTCATTCCTGCGCTTGATTTGGTGTTGCTCTTGAGGATCATCGACTTCGACATCGCCTTCTGGTACAGCTTCACAAGTTTGGTCTGAAGTCATCACGATGTCTTCTTCAGTGACTTCCGCTGCTACAAAATCAATATCCGTGAATACATCAGGGTCGTATGGAACCAATCCAGTTTTCTTAAATCCATTTATCGCATTAGCAGGACTGCAAGCTTGAATGTAAGATTCATTAAAAATAGATGAAATTTGAAAAACTGTGACAACCCTTCCTGGGTGATTGTTGAGCCACTTTTCAAGAGCCTTATCGTGGTAATGATTCAACGGATACGTAACTGAAACATCTAATGGCTGCAACTTATGAGTGCAGTGAGGAGGTAGGCAAATAATGGTAACAAAGCTTTCTCTTGCTTTTTCTATGACTAGTAAATTCTTGGTATGGGAAAGATGCCCGTCTAGTATCAAAAGTGCGGGGTCGGTTTTCGTTGGTTTCACATGACTTAAAAAGTGATCAAACCATTTATATACTAAAAACTTCAATCTTCATCCATTGCATTCAAATATTGTTCCAGGTGGTGCACCATCTTTCAACTCTTGCTTCATTCGCTGTCTAGAAAAAATCAACATTGTGGGAACAAAATTGCCTCCCGCTGACATACAGATAACAGCAGTTGTTGAAACTCCTCGCTCAGCCGACACAACTCTACCGACTTGCTTTCTTCCCTTTTTTGCCAATATCTTGCAATTTTTTCCAGGGACCGTACTCACGGATGTTTCATCCACGTTGAATATCCTGTGGGGCGAGTACGGCGTTTTATCCATTGCGGATTTTAACAGTGAAAAAAATTTTGTGACAACTGGGCGGTTAAAAGCTCTAGCTCGGGCTGTGGATGTTGCTTCGGGTGCTCTTAACGAAATTTCAGGATGACGCATACGAAAACCAGTAAACCAGTCTTTGCCAGCAAGTTGCGTTTTTGCTGAAAATGGATTTGGAATGCGGTTTTTAACGGCTAATTGGTACGCAATTGACCGGATATCGTGAATGGTTAAGCCATACATTCTGGTTTCCATGTTCAATATATGACGTACAAGATCCGCTTCTTGATCCACAGTGAACACATTCATCTTACTACCTAGAACTTTCTTTTCGTCTGTGGCCAACTTATTTTTGCCCTTGCAACGCCTCTTGAGACTCATCACCGGGACTTGAAATTGTCTTGCCGCAGTTTTAAATGGCAATCCATTCTGAACTGCCTCGACAGCTGCTCGCATTTGTTCATCAGACCAATTCTGCCGATTTGTTTTCCTTATATACTTCGAAACCATTCTCTGAATAAATGGAAAACAGATTGAATCTAGTAATAGGAAAGCTTGGGCAAAATGATCCCTCAAAACGGAATAACGCGGGTAAAATGATCCCCACCGGGATCATTTTGCCCGAAATTACACGTTTGTTTTACGCGCCATTTTTCGTGAATGTGTCTTGTCAAAATACGCCATAGATGGCGTTTACGATACTCAAATTATTTCGAGGGATCGTTTTACCCGTGGGGATCATTTTAGGCGGTCCTCCCCTATCAGCACAAAATTTGCTTCATGCCTACATCTTACTGTTTACACAAGGAAGCTTTGCAAAACCAAATTAAAACTTATGGAGGGTTTATACAATCATTATCATTAGTTCACTATCATCAACCCAGCAAACACGATGACGTGATAATGTCGTCATATTAAAGTGATTTTTTGGTAAGTCACGTCAATGTTCAAAAAATGACGTGAATATGACGCGGTTTTTTATGACATCTGTATGAAGACATGTAATGACGGTATTCTGACGTCATCTTTTAGTCAGTACAATTACTCATTCACATCCCTGAAATGAATCTATTTTTACTTTCCTATATTGTTTTTAACTAATTTAGTTCATTTCCTTCCAAATGAATAAATAATGCACTTTTAAAATGTCAGCGTAGAACTATGTACTTAAATAATTAGAAATTAGTTATAATCGCAATGGCTCCCGACAATATGGCATAATATAACTCTGAAAACCAGGATAAAAGAATTTTTAGCTGCGTCACAGATAAAACACTAATTTATCTGTGGCTGCGTGAACAAATAAATCACTTATTTGAATTCATGTGTATGGCGCGGTAATTTGCTTGATCTTTTGGTTGGAGTACGCCCATTCGTTCGGTCTGGCGCCTTAACCTCATTTTATCACGCTTTCATACGTTGTCGAATTGTTTTAATTTTTATCGATGGCTTTTGTGGTATTGAATTTGAAGAGTCAAGTGGTGGAGGATTAGCTGTGATTTTAGAAGAGTGGTTAACACCGAGAAAAAGGGAGGCATTCTGGCCACCTTATAAGAGCCAGAAAACGTTTAACACCGCCTTACAAACCGGCGAGGTGCATAAGGAAGATTGGCAGATTTACCCGTTTTTTTCAAGTCGGTAAGTGTAGAAGATATAATATTATTCTCTTAAATACTGTGATTTCGTTTAAGATGATTTATTAGAAGCCCAGAAAAAAATAAAATTGGCAGAAGATACTTCGGATGTACAAACTGACAAAGACCAAAGAGGCAGTATTAAAGGCGAAACGAAGAGACGACGACAACCGCCAAAAAAATTTGCTATTGATGAATCTGATCAAAACTGTATCAGTAGCGATGACGGACACGTAAAGTCCAATTAAAATAAGTTACCGAGACCTCCACCCGTATCAGTTTTGGCAGAACGAGGCTCGTCATCAGCGGAGAATATATACAGGGTGGTGCCTAGCGTAACGCAGCATAGGGATTTCAATTTCAATGGTAATTCCTTTATAGTCAATGACTAGCTCCCCTAATTATTTTAGAGCAAAAGTCTAAATACGTTTTTTTAGAGAAAAAAATACTGCATCTGTTCATACTATTTATACTTATAATTTCACATTTTTCAAAATAGAGGAAATGATAAGGTCAATGCACCAACACAAGCGGACGTGGCCAGATTTTTCAAGGCAAAGTGGCATATTTTCTTTCAAGGTCGACTGTTGTGGTATCTGATATTACTCTCAAGGTCAACTTCCTTGCCTTCATATTTCGATTCCAATGACAATTTTCAAGGTCACTTGTTTTATGACATCGCATTACATCTTCAAGGTTAACTTTATTTGGTATCATATCTCATTTCCATGGTGAGGTGTAATATTTCATTTTGAAGGTCAATCGATTCTACAGTTTATTGTTCAAACAAGCTGAACCCAGCGCAGTACCAATACGAGTTTTAAAAAGAAAAGGATCTAGGGTGGACCCTTATGGAATAGCTGAGGCCTGGGCGAAATATTTAGAATCATTGCTATTATAGGGCACAAAATGCGATCTGTCCACAAGATAAGATTTGATAAAATTCGCTAAGGTAGAAAGTACTGAAACCATATCCTCAGGCAATTTTTTAATCAGAATGTAGTGATCTAGTTAATCAAAGGCTTCTTGAAAAAAAAAGGTAGCAATTACTTATTAAGCTACACAAAATTAAAATCAAATTTCAAACTATAAAAATTAAATTCTATTGCTACTTAAACTATAAACTACAACTACAAGTTAATATACATATATACAATTTTTACATTGTTTCTATGGAAACTCCTCAATCCTCCGACTGTACTCCTGGGCGATTCTAATATTCTCCCGCACCCCCTCCAAGTTTTGGTTGGCCTCGAATAGCTCATTATTCAGTTGAGCTACTCGATTTGTCAACATCACCTCAGAATTTTTGTAGCAAGCATGCAGCTCCTGAATCCACTGCAAACTATACTGCTTAAACTCCCTTAAGTTGCTCGGTGGAAGCACCATAGTTTGCTGCGGATTGCGGACTGTAGAGAGCTGCTGCTGCGGAGGCGGTAGATGTTGTACTGTGGGAGGCTGCTCCCGAGGGGACGATTGACTGAGGACTGCTGCTGCGGTGCGTCGGATGCTGCTGCATAGGTGCAAGATTTGGCATTTGTTGAGGTCGTACCTCCTGCACCAGTGAAGGTTCCTGCTGCTTAATTAGTGCAAGGTTTTTTCCAGCACTACCACCACCACCAAATTGCTGCGGAGGTGGAAGCAGCGGCGGTGGAACCAGCGGCGGCTGCTGTTGCATGTCGACCGGCGTGATGCTAGTATAATTAAATGATGAAAATTAGTAATGTTTGCGAAAATGCAACCACCAAAAGTGAAAGATATAATTAATATATACTTACTTTTCAAAGAGGCGTCCAAGTTCCTCTTCAACATCGCTGTCCGCAAGCGATATTACTGCAGGTGTGGGAGGCCTGTTTTGAGCTACCACACCCTGCTGCCGATGATGTTGGTTAGACACACCAATTCCCGTTGGAGCACGGGGTGCGTCAGAATGCCTTCCAAAATCGTTATTTGCTTTGATGGCGCTTTTTCGGAATTGAATCTTACTTTTTTGTTCGGTGCTGACATTTTGTACTCGCGTATGAACTGAATATTAAAACGCAATGTTGCTTGTATATATGTGAAGAAGTTTGCTTGCTTTCGGTCTTGCAAAAGTCCAACTTGGAAGACTTGCATATGATTATGCTGAACAACACGACATACCCCACAGGTTTAATAAAAATTTAAAAATAGCAGGCAAAGATTGGATAAAATCTTTTTTAAACAATACAAAAGAAATCTCAGAACTCCTAAAGCTACATCAATGGGGCCTAATGGGCTTTAATAAAACAGCGGTCCAGAAGTTTTTTGAAATTTTAAAAGAAGTTCGTGATAAATACAAATTTGATGCAAGCCGAATTTATAACACAGATGAAAGCGGACTTTCATCAGTACCCACAAAGTTACCGAAAATTTTATCTCCTACTGGGTCTAGGCGTGTTGCCAAAATAGTGACAGCAGAGCGAGGAAAAAACACCACCATTGTCTGTGCTGTTAATGCATTAGGAAATTATGTGCCTCCTTTCTTTATGTTAACGCTTGCTTAACCATACGAAAGTGTCTAAACGTTACAATTCTAAAGCCGCGTTTACACAACAGTTTACACTTCCAAACATTGCCTATTGCAGAATGCAGTTCCGATTCCGTATAAGAGAAAATTTGAATCAATTTGCACTGATACTAAGGAACCTTCCACTATCAAAAATGTAAAAAAGATAAGAACATGAAATAAAACCTACAATTTTGAACGATGACTTTGTACCGATAATAATCCCTCCCACAAAAACGTATTCTGCAGGTGCCCATCAACAACGTCGCTTTATTAATTTTGAGAATTATAGTGATAAACATGTGATAAAAAAACAACACCAAACTTTAAATAACTTGGAAAACTTTTATTGCTCTCTTATTAAAATTCGGCAGTCGATTGAACCACTGGAGCGAGCGAAAAGTGATATGTAAACGTCTTTTTGATTGTAATAATGATCATTCATCTTCATCTCCACCTAAAAACCTAACTAAGCGATATCACCAAAAATGTGAGAAGTTGCGACAAAAATGTAGAGAACTATACCAGCTAAAGCAAAAATACAAATCCATAACCATTAATAGAACTTTCAGATTTTACAAAAGTGCAGCTTAGTAAAAAAAAATTCGTAAGTGGTCACTGTCGGTAAAAGAGATGGCAATGTCTGTTTATTATACATCACCAGCAGCGTATAGAACCTTAAAAAGATATGGCGATGAAGTTAAACTTCCGGAGCACAATCAAGAAATGGCTGAGAGCTTTCGACTTTAATGTTGGATTTTCGGACGAAGTCTTTAAAAGGATATCTGCATCAACAAAGAGAATGACAGAACAGCAGAAAATTTCCATTTTATCGTTTGATGACATGTCCATCAAAAAACATTTGGAATACAATAAAGTAACAGATATAATAGAAGGTATGCATATTTAGTTGTAAACAAAGTAAAGTTAATTCAATAAATTTGTAACTTATGTTGATATAGGTTTCCAAGATTTGGAACCGCTTCAAGAAAAACACAATTTTCCGGAATCAAGAATATTTAACGTGGACGAAACGGGCATCACTACCGTTCAAGGCCGAGCATCAAAAATTATTGCTGTTACAGGAAGAAAACAAGTAGGCTCTCTCACATCGGCCTAACGCGGTGAGTTAACTACTGCAGTAATTTGTATGAGTGCAAGTGGCATTTTTGTTCCACCTATAATCATTTTTCCTCGGGTGCGAATAAAATCTCAATTTTCTGATGGAACTCCACCATTATCAGTTTGCCATAAATCTGGGTGGCAATTAGAGTTGTTTGAGAAATGGTTTGATCTTTTGTTCTTCACACCCAAGCTTCGAAAAGTAATCCAATATTACTTATACTTGATGGACATAAAACACACACGCAAAATATTGCAGCAATAGATAAGGCACGAGAGAACGGGGTGACAATTTATATTTACCACCGCACACCAGTCATCGCATGCAGCTACTAGACGTTTCATTCATAGCACCTACTCAAGAAGTGGAAATATGGTTGAGAAACCATCCAGGACGTTGCGTTACCATAAGCGAAGTCGGTTCTTTGTTTGGTAAAGCATATCTCAGAGCTTCAACGCCTCTAAACACCATTAACAGTTTTCGTAAAACTGGATTATGTCCTTTAAACCGCAAAGTATTTACAGAAGATATGTTTGTTGCAGCTTTGCAGTGTAGACTGACTCGAAGAAGGATGCAAAGGCGTCCGCAATGCTTCTGGCGTCCGTGAACGAGGTGTTTTTGTACTCAAAAACTCCAGGTAGTTGACTTCCTCCTCAACGACTTGACGTAGTTCCAGAATTTTATTGGAATTCTTCCGCAGATCCATTTCAATTTGATTAATGTACCTCTTATGAGCAATGTAGATCATTCTTTTGAGTTCTTTTCTTGTTTCAATGAAGTCTTCCGATTGGCCCTGTAATCGAAACTTATTTTTCTGTTTGATTTTCTTAATAATGTCAGGGGCAAGTGGGGTAATTACAAACAGTCCTACGTGAAACATGGCGGAACGGTTGTTTAACGCCAGCATCGCCGAGGAGCTGTTGGAGTAGCTGTACAGGTGTCAGCACATACCTGGGGCTGTGTTTATGTGCATCGGTCGTTTGTGCATTTGTAAAAAGGATTAGTTTGTACACAGATCGTGAGTACTGTCATTTTTTTTTAATTTAATTGTAAGAATCGCCGTCTTAGACGGTTTTGTGTTTCAATTCGTGTAAGTTATTATTTTCAGATTTTGTGCATTTAGCTTTGTAAATTTTATTGTCATTTATTATTTGTGTGTCAAAGTAAAGGTCAAGGATTCGAGTTTCTCAAATTTTAAGTTTTCTTTTTTTATCCCGAGTGTGAAACGAGTTTGGTAACGTAAAAAGGTTTGGATCATCGGTGGGACTTGAATTTCATTCCAGAAGTGAGTTAACAAGGGATTATTTTATTTGGAATTTATTAAGGGAGGTATTAGCTACCCCTTGTCCGGACGAGAAAAGGGGTAGTCGGACTCATTTTACGGGCCCTGAGATTTGTGTTTTAAAGAGTTTTATTGAGATTGAGATAGCAAGGGTAAGTTGTGAGGGTAGTTTCAGTGTGTTGGGAAGTTTTCACAACAATATGTTCAGTCACACTGATCAAATTTCGCGCTGTTCGGAGTACTAATGATGCGTATCTCGCCCAAACGCGACATATCAATAAATCTCAAAATTAGCTACTGTCCCCCTGCGTGAGAACGTTTTTTTTTTGGTTGGGGGAGGGGGGATTGTTTTTAATGTTACCGGATAATTTTGAAATTGGCCAATAGTAGTGGTGTCCGTTCGCTAAATTTCAATCTCATTGGATACGTTGTGCTGGGTCAATCTTTGGGCGTGTGGGAAATGAAAGGCGTAGGTGGATAGTTTTGAGGAAGAAATTATGGGAGATTCGCGAAGACGGGCCAGGGAAGCGAACGCCTGGCAGGTCGCGGAATTATTCGCGGGCGAAAAGTTGCGTTTCGGCGGCGTAGAGTTGTGAGAAAAGGAGGTCGCGGAATTATTCGTGGGCGAAAAGTGGCGGTGTCGTAAAGGAGTTAAACGCGAATTCGAGAGTCAAGCGGAAATAAGCGGAAACGTTAATTGTGGTTGTCCGTTTAAAATCGAAGTTAAAGAGGCGCTAACGATCGACCAATCAATCAATAGTTTTGAAGGGTGAATGTCGTATTGATATCGACGTGTATTTGGAATATCAGTGCCAGAAGTGGATTTACCTGCAGTCTGTAGTCCTGTCGATTTCTCTTGGAGATACCGGCATCTTCACCGCCTAAAAGAGGAAGATCACTAAAGAAAAAAAATTCAGGTACTGTGAACTTGATCTGTTTTGGTGAGATAAATCTTTCGAGATTGAACTGTTATAGATATAGTTTTTTAAATAATATTTTAATCATAGCCTGTAGTTAACTCTAATTGTATATCTGTATTAGGAGGTTCTTGTGTTAGTTCCTACACGGGAGTATCCCGGTGGAAAAGGTATTAGGACCAACCAGACGCTTCTTGTAGTTGGTAATTAAGTAGGAGTCATTGACAAGAGATATCACAGACAGAGTGGTCACTGATAACCCTTTGATCAAACTCAGGAGGGTAGAGTTAGGTTAGTTTGTTGCTTTAGGTTTTTCTGTAGCGTAAGTGATTATAAGGAAGTATGGAAGTGGAAGAAGTAATATAGCGAATTTAATGTGATATTCTGTTTAAAAAAAATGTCAATATAAACCCGGTAGTTACCCGAATTTTACCTTTTTTTTCTTCTCTATGTCAAACTGCTCGTCAAATATGTAAAGGCTGAGGTGGACGGTAACAAAACGAGATTTACCCCGTTACGTCGTAATACGGTAGGTGGAAGACGATTGAGTTGTGTTGTAGTAGAGATTTTAAGCGGACGAAACCCCTAGAACGTTTAGAAGAGTAGTTTAAGTAACGAGGACATTACAAGCTGGGATCGACACCAGTGTCTTTTCGGCTCATTCCACTCGCCACGCGTTTACCTCGGCGGCCCGCAGAAGAGGTCTATCTGTGGATACTATTAAGGCAACGGTAGGATGGTCAAAGAACTCGGTAACATTTGTCAAGTTTTATCACTTACCACTTGTTACTGACCTCTCAAGTTTTGCAGAGACTGCACTTCGAGGTTCCTCTCCATAAAATATTTTGATTTTCTTTTCTTATACCAGAACAAGCATTTCGTTTTTGTATAGTAAAGGCTTTAAACATCTACATGTTAATCAATGATCATGGAGGAAGTGGCAGCGACGTACAATTAAGATAGAACTTCAAAAGGTAAGTTCGTTTAATCTTATAATTATTAACTTTTAATCAATACATTTTGTAGGTTACATTAATAATAGGGTATTGTGGAAAATAGTTACCAAAAATAGTGTTGGAATGAAACTCATTATAAACGCAAAACAAAGAAACAAAATTACGATTCTATTTTTTATAGGCATAAAGCTAAGGATTTGCCAGTACTGAAAATAGGAGATCCAGTGTGGATAATTGACATCAGACAGTATTGCAAAGTTGCAGAACTTTGTGAGAAACCTCGTTCCTATGTAGTTGAACTCGCCTGGGACAATTTAGACGCAAGAGGTCGCATTTGATATATGCTCCGTATCATCATGAACATTTAAACGAAATACCAGTTATCCACACAGAGCAACCTACATTGTCTTGTAAGAGTAATACTAAGTGTGATGAAATTACGATTAGTGAACACAGGGTAAATGAAATTTTGGGAAGCAGTTAATGTATAAATAATGTAGCCAATGAATGTGTTGAGCGGGATGTTAATAGTGAAGAGGTTAGTTGTTATGCACGCCCCAAACGTAAAGTGGCGCGCCCTACTTATTTAGCAGACTATGTAACCGACTAATATAAACAAAAGAAAAAAGGGGGATGTACCGCCTGGATATTTGACGCGTGCATTATAGCCAAATTCAGACTATGATTTGCGCAGTGCACATATACAGCTTGTGGACACGATTCATTTACTTTTACAGCACATCCATTATATCTACCACTCATGGCACGGACACCATCCTGCGTAATATAGTTATGTTATAAAAAATACGATGAAAAAGTATATGTAGGTACCTTGTCCTCTCAGAAAGTTAGGTAATATCAATTCCTATGGCTGTTAACCAGAGCTGGGACGAATCCTCAAATAATTGATTCGAATCACGAATCCGAATCTTCAGTAGTGATTCGAATCACGGATACTTCTAACGAATCCATTACGGCCTATAAAATGATTCGAATCCGAGGATTCGAATACAAGTATTCGAATCATGTACGCGAATCATTTTTTGGACACCGGAGATAATTTGTTTGTAAAAAATCAAAGCTGACTTACTAAAGGACAAAAAACACAAAAAGTGTAGCTTTATTGAAATAAAAAGAACAAAGACGCACAAGTTACTTATTTATTGTTAGCTTTAGATAGCACTAATATTTCAAAATTCTCATCAGTTAAACCATTTCTGCGAGGTGCATCGATTATGGTTGCAAATGAAAACAGTCTTTCCACTGGTCCGGACGACGGCAGACATGTATTGAATTGGGTCGAGAGTTTCTTTAGCCGAGGATATTCATTTAAACTATGTATATTAGATGCTTTGTCCTCCAAATACCGCAGTAGCTCTAATTCAATCTTAGTTGTTGTAGACCTAGACGCAGATGTAGGTTCACAACGTTCACGTGCATCGACGACAGTAAACATAGACCCATTGTCTCCGGTTCCGCTGAAGTCAAAAAATTCGTCTAATGACTCTAATGCATCATCCTGGTGTGAGTTCGGAGATGTATTTCCTTCGCGATCTATCTTTTCCGCCACCTCCACAATTTGTTTTTTTATATCGTCTATTGTTATAGTAGGATGTTTTACAACATTGTACCATCTAAATTTGAATTGGGGTAGTAAAACAGCAGCAAACACAGCTTCCTTAGATCTTAAATTCAAGAGGTCCGAAAATCTTTTCCTGAGGCTATCTAAACACATTTGCGTTATTTGGTCACCACCATAGATAAATCTTTGGGATTGTAGCATTTTTTCATACCGATTGGACAGAGATAATAAACTTGGTAACAGAAACCCAAAAAACGTATTATTTTCCCCCTGTAAAAAGTCCAGTGTATCAGCAAGGGGCTTCATCACTGCACAGTACTCCTCCAAGTATAAAAGTTTCGTATCTTTAAATGGCTGTAATTCAAGAGCTCTGGACAGGGTAGCGAGTTTACGCTTTTCTTGTATTATTTGATTTACGGAATCATAAGTCCATCTAGTGACACCCGGGCTGCTAAGTGTGTGTCCCAAAATTTTTTGGATTATTTCGTTTGACTTTGGCCTATTAGCCTTGTGCCAAAGCAGGCGGCATTTAAAGAACGCATTAGTATGCCTCGTGCGTAGGAGTGTATTTGTTCCTAGGAAGTTTTTGTAATCTGTTGTACCGATTAGATTGAGGGTGTGACTTGCACAGCGGACATGTTTCGGCAAGGAAAATGATTCCGTTGTTAATGGATCTTCATTATCAACGTTGGCGATACTAAACACATCTTCTTCTTCTAGGTCTTTATCTTCATCTGCATGAAATTCTTTGAACGCCTTAACGAAGTTACTTCCGTTGTCTGTGATCGTTCCAACGATCTTATTTTGGGTCAAACCAAATTTAAAATTGATGTTTTCAAGAATTTCTGCAATATTTCTATACGAATGAGTCCCCATAAATCGTTTGCAAGCAATTGCAGCCGACCCTCTGGTTGAGTCTTCCTCAATCCAATGTACAGTCACTCCGAGAAAACTTCTCCTTTTATTGGACCAAATATCAGCGGTCGTGCTCACAAAGTCAATATTTGATAGTTTCTGTTTAATATCACACATATTTAGTTCATGATGTTCGCTTATCCTTTTCATTAGCGTCTTTCTAGATGGCACTTTCACATTCATACCCTTGAAAAGTGCTAAAAAACTCGGATGTTCGATGATATTTAGGGCTGACATTGTACTCAACACAAAATTTTGGATGCGATCTTCAAAATTAGCTTGACTAAATGGGTTTTCAGTAGCCTTGTTCAAAACGTTTTTTAGCGTTGGCTGCATCAATTTCGGTTGTTTACTACATGCCCAAATAGCACACGATATAATATGTATATGCGTTTTTGGTCCATAATGTGGAAAAGATATACAGTATATTCAATGTATATTGTTTTTTTATGCTGAATATTCAGATAGTGGTATGTATATTCATACTATGTACTAGATGTACCTAGAAAAGATATAGGACGTACCCTGTTTTACACAAATTGTTTTGAAATATAACCACTACATTTTGTGTTTAGAATCTGCGATACCTATATACTTATATTTGTAGGGTGTTTTTCGCAAAGTCTAAAAGTTTGGCCCTTTTTAATAAAATTTTACAAATATTCCCAAGATATTTCAGACCTATATGTATAACAGATGCAATGTATGCTATATGTATATTTACTACTGTAGGGTCTATTTTCAAATCCAATTTGTCAATCTGGTTGCATGTATATTCATACTAAAAACATAATATGTGCTATGTATATACTGATTCTGAATGTATTCCTTCCTTTGTTTTTTTTTAATGAATAAACAAAGATCCCTTATTTTCACTCCTTATCATGACTCATGAGATTTCAAATAAGTATTCAAAAGTGAACAATAAATTAAAACGAATTCTTTCGCGCGTAATGGAATGACGTTGCAGAAAGCACATTACCCTATGCGTTGATCACGTGTTCTCTGTACTCGTCTAACATGTAAGAAAAGCGAATATTCATCTCTTTTTACTTATAACCTCGTGACCTGAGTTCGTTTTCGTTCGATTCGATGTAAGTACACGCAAGTGGAAAATTACTAAATTACCTAACCTATTTGTCGCTGCTGTTTCCGTTGATTTTTAAGATTTTTCTTTTTATTAGATCACCAGTTTTTGAAGTGTTTTGTGTCCATATTAATAACAATTGGTAAGGTACTTATTGTTTGGATTATTTAAATGTGTATCATTATGTAAATGCAGCAATTACTATGGATAGCAAAATGAAAAAGAAATTAAGTAGGAACACGAGGGAAGGTTTAAAAATGTCCTTAAATATAATTTCTGGGAATGGTTCTGATGTTATTGAGGGCATTGCGGGGTAGGTGTACTAATTTTATTAAAGTTCATTACGAAGTATAGAATTTTGTATTTCAGTCAACGTTTCAGTTGTGAAAGTTCCATTAATATCAACGTTACTAGTTGTAGTAATCCCGGTGCACCTGATTTACAGAATAATTCTGAATTTGAAGAACTACTAGCAACGTCACATAATTTATCGTGAAATTCTGGAAATGATTTTGACGTAACCGATATACTCGACTGTGATAATTATGTAACTTCCCAAGGTGGTGAAATAAGTTTCGATTTTATTAATCAGGTTGCTGATCCTCATGCTGATCTCCCTTGTATTTTACCAAAAGCAACACCGTCGAAGGAATTTGATTTCAATCATTTTAAACATAAACTTGCCGAATGGGGAATTAGTGGAAATATATCACATATGAATATTTCAAAACTTTTAAGTATTTTAAAAACAGTACCAGCATTAAATAATTTGCCAAATGATGCCAGAACATTAGTGAATACTCCGCGATCAACTGCCGATCAAGTTCGGGTTATGCAACCAGGATATTTTTGTTATTTTGGTATTGGCACCACTTTGCGTAATTTATTTACAAAGTTCAGTTACACTCCGTTAGAAAATAGCATCATTGAGTTAGGAGTAAACATTGATGGATTACCTATAAGTAAAAGTGTTAAATCTACATTTTATCCCATTTTATGTAACATCAAATCGATAGAAATATTTAAAACTCATATTTTATTAATTGGGTTATATCATGGAGCTGATAAACCTATGGATTCAAACGATTTATTGCAAGAATTTGTGGAAGAATCTATCAGTTTATATAACAATGGAATTATTTTGAATGGTATTATTTGTAAAATTCGAATTGTGATGTTAACTTGCGATTTACCTGCAAAATCATATGTGCTGAAAACTAAAGGTCACATGGGGTATTTTTCTTGCTCTAAATGCAAGCAAGAAGGTGACCATGTTGAAAGAGTATTGTGTTTTCCCGAAACAAGTTTTATAAAAAGAACTGATGATGATTTTCGTAGACAAACTCAATCTGAACATCATATTGGTTGTAGTATATTAACGAAACTACCACAGTTCAATATGATTAGGGATGCTCCCCTAGATTATATGCACCTAATTTGTTTAGGTGTTGTCAAAAGAATTTTGGCAGGTAAAAAACATGGGCTAATTTTTGGGAAACCTCCATACAAATTACCAAGTCGTGATATTAATAATATATCGGAGAGATTAAAAATTATGAGTAAGTTTATTCCAATGGAATTTTCCCGCAAAACAAGGCCCATTACTGAATGTAGATTGTACAAGGCTAGTGAATTTAGATTTTTTTTATTATATGCAGCACCTGTTGTGTTGAGAGGTATTGTGAAGAAGGCAATCTATAACAATATTCTTACTTTACATTTAGCAACATCTATCTTAATCAGTAGGGAATTTCATTGTCATTCTGATTATCTCAAATATGCAAATGATTTAATGTTGCATTTTGTACAAACGTCTTTAAAATTATACGGAGCAGATTTTGTTGCACACAATGTTCATTGCTTATTACACATTGCTGACGATGTGAAGTACTTTGGGGAACTAGACAACTTTAGCGCATTCCCATATGAGAATTATATGCAAAAGTTGAAAAATATTTTGAGGAAACACCATAAACTTTTGCAACAAGTTATACGGAGAAGCATGGAAACTGAATTTTTAAATTCGATGGGAAATATAGGTAGTAATGAAATTACTCCTTACTGTACTCAAGAACATTTTGATGGGCCTACCATAATAGGTTGTAACAAACAATTCAAAGCGATCAAATTAAGTAATTGCACTATTAAATTGAATCGTGCCGATTCTGTAGTGCAACTAAAAACTATGGAAATTGTCCGGGTGTTTAATATTTGTACAACTGAAGATGATATCAAAATTGTTGGCAAGGAGTTTATTGATAAACAAGAGTTATACTTACAGCCTTGTTCTTCGTCTATTTTTCATATCTATGAATGTCAACAATTAAAACCAACTTTTTCGTCGTGGTCGATTAACGAAATCAATCATAAAGTAGTGCTGTTACCACATAAAAATGGTTTTGCTGCTTTTCCAATGTTGCATTAATTTGGATTTGAAATATTTTTATTGTACATGCTACCTATTCAATGTACAGGGTTTTAAATTAACATGGAGAAAAAAACAAGTCCTTGGATGGTGGTTCGTTTTACAAAAGAAAATTGTGTGGAAATGATACCTAGCAATTGGTACATGTCCAAATCGTCAAAGTGTTATTGGCCTCCGAAAAAATCAAATAAGGAAATAAAGAACCTTTTATTGCAAAGACATTCTCCATCAAAAGAATGGGCGTTATTTGATGTTGTTCTCTTAGGACAATATGGTAAGTTTCTTGTCTAGGAATAATTATATATTTCAAATCTTTTCTTACAGCTGATGTAAGTAAGGCTAGCAAAAAGGCTTCCAAAGCTAGAGAAACCGATGAATTAACAACCACATGTGATGAAAATGTTGAGAATGTAAAAAGAAGAAGGAACAAAAATAGGAAATATAGTTCGTCATCTAACTCAACTGCTTCTGAGGCAGAGTCAGTGGACGATAATGATTACCCTACTCCACCAAGATCAACCGATGCTAGTCTCCATCATGAAAAAGAACAAAGTTCACGAGCCTCATCGAAAGGATCAACTGTGTCAGCTGTATCATTATCTTCAATTTGAGGCATGATGTGAAGCAACCCCAAATTAAATCTTCATCAAATAAGTCTACCCTTATGTCAAACAAGGATTCTTTCGAAGGTATATGCGCTTTTTTTTATTAGATAAACAATATGTTTGCTGCAGAATTCCAGAGACAAGTGTTGCGACAACTGCATTTGATTAATGCAAAACTCAACCAACACTCAGAAAATTTCAATGTCATATTGCAAGGCGTTAACAATCCTACATTACCTGGCAATGTAGCAGTTGTTCCTATATTTGACTTGGGAGAAGTTAAAGATTTACTTCCAATTTCATCCGAGACAAATTTGAACGAATAGAAGAATTGCTTGCTAACAAGGATTGTGCCTCTTCATTTGTAGGTATTAAGGGTTTATATAACAAATCACTACATGATATATTTTAGGCAGTTGAATTAAGTCGAACTGGTGGAGAAACTGTAACTGAAATTACAAAAAGGATCATGTATAAGCTGTTCAATAATGCAATTGGAATGACATTCAGCTGGGACGGAGCAAAAGGGAAGAAAAAGTTTAAACAACTAAAATTAGCAAGTGTAATCATAGGTATGGATATTTTATAAGGTGGGATTTTGTTTTGTATGTTTTATTTCGTTTAGATAGTGTGAGATTAAACAAGAGGACGCAGCAAGCAGCTGATGACGAAATAATTAAAATAATCAAATCATGGTTGGTTCGGGCCAAGGACATATATCATAATAGTAATCGAGCAAGGTAACGTACGATATTAATGTTTAATAATAGAACATAAATTATACTGTTTTAGCAATCTACAACAAACTGTTCAAGAAGAAGCAGCTGCCGATAATCTCTAAAATGATGTATTTTATATGCCTATATATGTGCAAAATTCATGATTTTACATAAATATTTCAGTTACAATTTTCTTTATTTCTTGGTAGAACTGCATGTAAGTATATAACATACGTATGTACATTTCACATTCGTATTATATATACATGTATATTCATAGTGTGTACGATGTAGATTATTAGAAGTTTCACTGAATATGAAACAAATCCATAGTACCTGTGAAACATATTCATAACATGTGTTATGGATGTACCCATCAATATTCTCAGTATATTCATTGCATATACAGATGTGGAACCAATGTAATATACATATCATGTACCAAGAACATACACAATGTTAAATATGTACATACATTGAATATTTATATATCCATCTAGGCATATACATTTAATATGCATACCATATACTTGTGTTATTTGGGTGTTGGCGTTAATACATTATTAGTTTCGCTTTCGTTGTCGATTCGCATTTTAATTCGTGAATCTTTCTTAATTTTTTTATAAGAATTGTAACCATTGACGTTTTCAGGATGCACTCTTTTTAAGTGCCTCACAAAATTTGATGATGATTGTAATTTTCCTTTAATGTGTTTCACGTTGGGTAAGCACAACTGGCAAGAAGCTTCAACGTGATCATTTTCTAGTTTTATCACTTTAAAATATTTACCGTCCAATATTGCAACACTTTCACATCTACCAGGCTCGTTGACAGTCTTTTCTACATTTTCTTTCTCCGAAAGATTTACATCGTCACCTTTTTTTTCATTTTTTCTAAAAAAATCAGTCAACTTTATTGGTCTCTTCTTTTTATTCCGTGTTGTAGATAACTCGTCATCTGTCGAGCTCGAGCTGTATTCCCTAGGGGTAGAATATGATGGATCGTTGTCTGATGTATTGGCAAAGGGGTCTTCTATGCTATTTTCTTTATAATTGTTTATTTGAGGAGACACATCAGCATCAGCAGACATCGCCATGTATTCGGCATCTAATGATGATGATGCCAATGTCAAATCGACCATCTTTTTTCCTCTACTTGACATTATCGGCACTTCAGGGGCAATACTGGGACCCAGAAAAAATGAAAATAAATAATACTGCGAATAGAACCCACTGTTATGTAATGATTATTTGAAAAAAAAACATTCGATAGTGTAGTGCAATGTTTCGAATATTGTTTGGTAATTGGTAGGCATATACTTTTAGTATACATACGTTTAATTGCAAATTAACTTGTAGATTTCTATAATACCTACAAATGAAAAGTGCGTGTTTTTAGATTTTGGACTCACAGAAGTAGTGTCGTGGAATTCATATTTCAGTTGAAATAAGAAATTATACTTATAAAGCAAAAGCAATATAAGAAAATTAGAAAAATCCTCGTGTAAGATCGAAGGGACTTCAGCGCATTTTTGTGTGACAGATTAGTATTTTATTATCCACATTCCACATTTGATGAAAAGAGTAAAAACAATAAAATTATAAATAAAATATCAATTAAACTTGACCACGCCAGTTTTGAATTCTCAGCATTAAAACTGAACCGCTATAACCTAGAACGTTTATGTTTGTGAATTGTGATATCGATTTTCGTTATCGTGACTGGACGTAACTGAATTCGCGGAAATGTCACATCGAATCGTTAACATTTTCAGGTACAAACTAAACGCTGAGTGAAGGATTTCGTAGAATTACGTAAATAACGTAGAAACAAAACTCACCCAAAGTTTAAGAGAAGGAGCTACGCTAATTGGTTGTAGATTGTAGAACCGGAACAAAATTAATGTTTTTATTCAATGCCAAAATGTACAAAAAAAAAAGCAACTGAACACACGAGGAACGAGGAAGCATCTGACTTACAATTTACATGCGCGGGCGCACTCGGAAGGGCAAACGCAAAAGGATTCGCATCATCATTGTTAGGAATCCTTTTGTAATGGTGTCATGAATCCGAATCACGAATCCTTTTCTTTTAGAGTATTCGAATCCTCCAAAAGGATTCGAATCCGGGATTCGAATCCTAAGTGATTCGAATCCTCCCCAGCTCTGCTGTTAACCTTGATAACAAAGTTTTTATGTTTCCCCAGGATGGGCCATCATCCACGAATCTATGGCAGCATTATAAAAGGTCTGAAACAGTTTCAATACTCATCCAACGGTTGCAATTTGTTTGTGCAACTGGCTTGATAAATTTTAAGTTAACAAACAGGCACGAATAGCAAAGTGACAGACCTGATGTTCATAAACACGATAAGTTTAAGAAGCGGGAATTTTGAACATTGTCTTAATGTTCTCACTGTCTCATTGTACCCACCGCTCCCCTACGTGTCGTACAATAACTTTAAATCGTGCTACTTTCCAGTGACATCAGGAGTGCCTCAAGGATCAAACTTAGGACCACTCTTATTCCTCCTGTTTGTGGATGACCTAATACCATGCCTCTCATGCGAAAAGGTAATGTTTGCAGATGACTTAAAAATATTCATAAATGTCAAAGTTCGGACTGCCAGATATTACAAGCTAACCTAGATACAATACAAGAGTGGTGCGGTAAATATGGCTTACAACTAAACATTTCTAAGTGTAAGGTTGTAACGTATACAAAAAAGTTAAGTCCTATTTTATACCCATACACATGTGACCTGACAACGCTTACACGTTGTAGCTCCACCATTTCTATGTTCACTTTCAATGACCACATCAATAACATTTGCAAGTCAAGAATCCGAATGTGCGAATTTATCATACGAAACTGTAAAAGCTTTACAAACATTTCTTCTGTGAAGGTGTTATATGAAACACTTGTTCGGTCCAAGATGGAGTATTGCTCTCTGGTATGCTTTCCCTATTATAACTGTCACAAGACTAAAGTTGAAGCTGTATAGAGGAAATTTCTTAAGTTCTTGTTTTTCAAGATTGATGGTATTTATCCTCCCATTGGCTACGACCACAAGTTACTCCTCGTAAAGTTCAATGTCTATAGCTTAGATTTTAGAAGAAAGCCAAATAGTGTAGTAATTCTATATAAATTGTTAAATAACAAAATCGATTCTATGTCTCTTGTTTCCCAACTTAAATTTACTGTTCCACAACATTTGTTTCGTAATCTTAATACCTTTTATTATAAGACACCACATACCAACCTACCGAGGAAATGTCCTATATTTGTCATGTGTGATAACTACAACACAATAGCGTCAGAATGCGATATAAACTTCTTATCCTTACAAGCACTAAAGGATATTGCATCTACTTCAATACGTTAAGACTCTATGTAAGCTTAAATTATTTTGTGAACACTACCTAAAAATCAATCTACCTATTTTTTTTTCTTTCTCTTAAATTTGTTTATTTATTTATCCTGACGGCCTCGTGGGCTTACTTTTTTCTCGCGTGACTTATTTGTAAAATAACACACTTATACCATAAATAACTATTATCATATACCTTTAATTTGTACTAAATCACCGTTATCAACTCTGTATGTTGAATTTTTGTCCTGTAGTTGGAGTATATCTGTTGGGCAATAAAGAAATTATTATATTATTATTATATGCCCGAAAATTACCATAATTTTCTACAGGCATTTTAAAGTCCAATGGTCCGAAATCTCTAGGCCCTCTTAGAGTGTGTCCTTGTCTACCACATAGTAAAACTGCTCTAATTATGGGAATTAATTTCTTTTTGTTTTCGATTTGTTTTCGCTTTCTCTCAGCGTCAAGGCCTGCCAATACATCATTTGCCTCATTTTCAAAGATATGTTTGAAATTTTGAACTTTCTCCATGGCGTTTTTGTGATATTCCTTGCTTTGGTACTCTTTAAGTTTCTCGACAGCTTTTTTTCAATTACGGAAAGGAGCAAGCACAAATGTATTGGCAGTTTGGTGAGTGCCTTTGCCAGTAAACTCTTGCGAGAAGGCTATGCAATACCGGCAGTATGCACCATCTTCTTTGCACGAGTATGTCAACCATACAGAAGAACGTAGCCAGGAATGTTGAAATTTTAAATTACGTTTGCCTTCAGAAATAGGAAACTGATTGGTTACGTCTTGGATCCACGGGTGTTCAATGAGTTGAATTTTCTCTTCATCAGATAGTCGTTGTTTGATAGAAAGTGAAACGTCATTTGGAGGTATTGCGCAAATTGCAAAGTTTTTAGAGACTTTTCTCCGTTTGTTTGTGAAAATCTGTGAATATGCCGAACAAGTGCTGTGCCCCTAGATGCCGATGCAACTACGCAAACGGGGGAAAGGTACATCTATTTAGTTTTCCCAAACATGAGACATTACGTGAAAAGTGGATTACAGCCATACCTGCTACCACGTACAAAATTCACTGTAACACAACATTCAAAGGTAGATATGTCATTTACATTTCCCTGAAGAAAATATTATTTGGACTATTACGGAACAAGACTCACGAACTGGTCAACTTGTAACAAAAAAATTAAAATATCCTAGACTTAATTCCGATGCAGTACCAAGTGACAATATATACGAAATTGAGTTTATTGCACTAAATGTTTCCGGAACATGCATACCTATTATGTTTAGCAAAAAACACCCAAGTGATATTAAAATCGAGTCGCGTTTCATTTAATAAGTGACTAGAACCAACGCGTATTGTACAATCATTGCAGTTTATTTTACAAAAAGGAACCACCCAGTAAACACACATATGTATGA